TGATGAGATTTTTTTTGGGTCGGTTGTGGGGCTTGAACTCTGGGCCTGGGAGCTGTCCCTGAACTCTTCAGCTCAAGGAGAATGCTCTACCACTTGAGTCACAGCACCACTTCCTGTTTTCTGGTGGTTAATTGGAGATAAGAGTCTTTTTTTTCTGTGGGGCCTGAACTCTGGGCCTGGGTGCTGTCCCTCAGCTCTTCAGCTCAAGGCTAGGGCTCTACCACTTGAGTCACAGCACCACTTCCTGTTTTCTGGTGGTTAATTGGAGATAAGTGTCTTTTTTTTCTGTGGGGCCTGAACTCTGGGCCTGGGTGCTGTCCCTCAGCTCTTCAGCTCAAGGCTAGGGCTCTACCACTTGAGCCACAGTGCCACTTCCGGCTTTTTTCTTTTTGCTTATGTAGTGCTGAGGAATCCAACCCAGGGTCTCATGCATGCAAGGCAAGTGCTCTACCACTGAGCCACCTTCCCAACCCTGGAGATGAGTGTCTTATGGACTTTCCTGCCTGAGCTGGCTTTGAACTGCAATCCTCAGATCTCAGCCTCCTTAATAGCTAGGATTAGAGGTGTGAGCCACCAGCGCCTGGCTTTAAGAATATTTCTTGAAGCCAGGGGGTCACCACACCTGCTATCCTAGCTACTTGGGAGGCAGGAACCCGGAGGATCATAGTTTCAGACCAGTCTAGGAAAAACACGAAGTGGCTCTGTGGTAGAGCAGTAGCCTTGATCTGAAGAGTTCAGGGACAGCGCCCAGGCTCAAAGTTCAAGTCCCATGACTGACAAAAAAAATTGCAACATCTCCCCAAAAAGAGAGAGAAAACTCAAGCTGATCATGATGACAGGGGCCTATAATCTTAATACTTAGAGGCTAAGGCAGAAGTTAAGTATGAGGCCAGTATGAGCTATAAGGTGTAACCTTTCCTTAAAAAATAGCTGGGCAACGGTGGCTCACAACTGTAATCCTACTATTCAGGAGGCTGAGATCTGAGGATAGAGGTTCAAAGCCAGCCAGGCAAGAAAGAAAGTCCATGAGACTCTTATCTCCAGTTAACCACCAGAAAACCATAAGTGGCGCTGTGGCTCAAGAGGTAGAGCACTAGCCTTGAACTGAAGAGCTGAAGGACAGTGCGCAGAGTTCAAGCCCCACAACCTACACACACACACACACACACACACACACACACACACACGCCAGGTAGCAGTGGCTCATACCTGTAATCCTAGCTACTAGGAAGCTGAGATTGGAAGGATTGAGGTTAGAGGGCAAAAAAAAAATTCTTCTCAACCAACAGCTGTGTATGTTGCCCCACACCTGTCCTTCTAGTTACATGGTAGACTGAGATTGGAAGAATTGCTGTTGTAGGCAGAAGAGGCTGTGAAATTCCATCTCAACAGAAAAAATCTGGGCATGATGGTATACACTTGTTATTCCAGCTATGGAGGAAAGCATAATCAGGAGGTCCAGGCTAGCCCAAGCAAAACATGAGACTATACAAAAAATAACCAGAGGGGCTGGGAAGGTGGCTCAGTGGTAGAGTGCTTGCCTCACATGCATGAAGCCCTGGGTTTGATTCCTCAGCACCACATAAACAGAAAAAGCTGGAAGTGGCACTGTGGCTCAAGTGGTAGAATGTTAGCCTTGAGCTGAAGAGCTAAGGGACAGCACCTAAGCCCAGTGTTCAGACCGACCAAAAAAAAAAAAAAAACAGAGCAGGCAATCTGCTGGTGACTCATACCTGTAGTTATAGCTACTCAGAAGACTGAGATGTAAAGATCGAGGTTCCAAGACAATCAGCCACTAAAAAGCCAGAAGTGGAACTGTGGGCTCAAGTAGCACCCACACTCTGAGTTCAAGCCCCAGGATGGTACCAAAAATTAACCAGGAACTGGTGAGTCATGTTTATATAATCCTAGCTACTCCAGAGGCTGAGATATGATTACAGCTTGAAGCCAGGCTGGGCAGGAAAGTCCACAAGACTCTTAGCTCCAATTAACCACCAAAAAGTCAAAACTGGAGCTGTGGTTCGAAGTGGTAGGGCATTAGTCTTTTTTTTTTTTTGGTCGGTCGTGGGGCTTGAACTCTGGGACTGGGCACTATCCCTCAGCTCTTCAGCTCAAGGCAAGCGCTCTACCACTTGAGCTACAGCGCCACTTCTGGTTTTCTGGTGGTTTATTGGAGATAGGAGTCTCACGGTCTTTCCTGCCTGGGCTGGCTTTGAACCGCGATCCTCAGATCTCAGACTCCTGAGTAGGGGCATTATTCTTGAGCAAAAAAGCTCAGGGACAGTGCTTAGACCCTGAGTTCAAGCTTTAGGACCAGCACAAAAAAAGAAGATGGTTATAATGAAGGGGTGGAACTTTGTCTAGGTAGGGTAGAAATGGTACTATAAGTTCTTGTGGGAATACTGATCACAGTAGCATTTGTGGTGACTGAAGAACATGACAAAAAATCCAGCATTAGTCATAAATAAGGGCCAGTTAATTAGAATGCTGCCCTTGAACTCCTACACCTTCAGATTTCCTCATCTGTAAATGGGGATAATAACAGGGCCCATAATATTTCTATTAAGATTAATTTTTTTTACCAGTCCTGGGCTTGAACTCAGGGCCTGGGCTCTGTCCTTGAGCCTCTCTGTACTCAAGGCTAGCACGCTACCATGAAGTCACATTCCCAGCCCCAAGATTTTTATATATATAATTTTTTTGTAGGTCTTGGGGCTTGAACTCTGGGCCTGGGTGCTGTCCGTCAGCTCTTCAGCTCAAGGTTAATGCTCTACCACTTGAGCCACAGCGCCACTTCCAGTTTTCTAGTGGTTTATTGAAAATAAGAGTCTCACGGACTTTCCTGCCAGGGCTGGCTTTGAACTGTGATCCTCAGATCTCAGCCTCCTGAGTAGCTAGGATTACAAATGTGAGCCATGGGTGCCCAGCTTAACAGTCTTGTCTCTAGTCTTGTTCCTATATGAGTGAGAACACTGTAACACTGGGAGGACAAAATAAAGGCTTCCTCCTCCTTACAAAAAAAACAAAAACAATGGGCTGGGAAGGTGGCTCAGTGGTAGAGTGCTTGCCTTGCATGCATGAGGCCCTGGGTTCGATTCCTCAGCACCACATAAGCAAACTGAAAAAAGCCGGAAGTGGTGCTGTGGCTCAAGTGGTAGAGCGCTAGCCTTGGGCTGAAGAGCTGAGGGACAGCGCCCAGGCCCAGAGTTCAGGCCCCACAGCCAGACCCCCCCAAAAAAAAATTAAAAACAAAACAAAAATCTAGCATTGCTGGACTGGGAAGGTGGCTCAGTGGTAGAGCACTTGCCTTGCATGCCTGAGGCCCTGGGTTCGATTCCTCAGCACCACATAAGCAAAAAGAAAAAAGCCGGAAGTGGCGCTGTGGCTCAAGTGGTAGAGTGCTGGCCTTGAGCTGAAGAGCTGAGGGACAGAGCCCAGGCCCCGCAACCGGACCCCCCCCAAAAAAAATCTAGCATTGCTGGCTGAATCTAACTCAGTGGTTCTGTGAAGCTCTCCTTTACTGCAGGAAGTTTATTTTATTAACTTTTTTTTTTTGCCAGTCCTGGGGCTTGAACTCAGGACCTGAGCACTGTCCTTGAGCTTCTTTTGCTCAAGGCTAACGCTTGAGCTACATTGCCACTTCCAGCTTTTTCTGTATATATGGTACTGTGGAATCAAACCCAGGGCACACACATGCTCGGCAAGCACTCTACCACTAAGCCACAGTCCCAGCCCCTGGATGATGATGATGATGATGATGATTGCCATTCCTGTGGCTTTGAACTCAGGGCCTGGGCACGGTCATTGAGCTTCTTTTGCTCAAGGCTAGTGCTCTACCACTTGAGCCACAGTGCCACTTCCAACCTTTTCTGTTTATGTGGTATTGAGGAATTGAACCAAGGGCTTCATGCTTTCTAAGCAAGTACTCTACCACTAAGCCACATTCTCAGCCCCTAGATTTTTTTTTTCTATGCTAGTTCTTGTCCCTTAGCTTTTTTTGCTCACGGCTAACATTCTACCACTTGACCCATATCTCCACTTTTGGGATTTTTGGTGGTTAATTGGAAATAAGAGCCCCGGCTGGATTTGAACTATGATCCTCAGATCTTAGCCTCCTGAGTAGCTAGGATTACAGGTATGAGCCACTGACATGTGGCCACAGTGACATATTATTGTTAGAATACAGAAAAAGGTTAATATGTTTTTGAATCTCATTTAAGAAAGCAAAAAATGAAACAATAAATTGGTGACAATTTATGAGAATATTTTTTTACATTTCTCAATTGGTATTAAAATACTATTACACATTCAATTTCAACCTAGTAATTTATGTTTATCTACATGACTTTAAGATGAACAGTTTGAAGGCAGTTGGGAGGCAAGAGGATCAGTTAAGGCTATGAGATGCAGCTTCCATGTTTTTTTTTAAAAAACAAGATTCAGAGAACTTCCTTAAGTCCAAACCTCAAAGTTGGTTCTGCCTAATTTTATCTTCTGCCCTTAGAGACTTAATTAAGCCTCATGCTGTCTGGGGACATCCAAGTCCAAGCACTCCCAATCCACTGACATCTGCTCCTCTCCCCTCCCCTTCCAGGCAAACACAGGCTAGTTTTTCTCATAGTGGTATCCAGAGGCCCATCCATCACTCTAAGAACAACTTTGTAAAGATCTCTGCGTGGTGATTATATTTTATTATCATATTCAAGTTTTGCTGAGCCAATTTTATGCAGCTAAGAAGGGAACTAAACCACTCTTTCACAAGAAAGTCGGATTTCTGAATTCTAGTGAATGATTACAAGTCTTATTTCCGATTTCTAGTGGATGATTTTGCAGACTCACTCCAGTCCCTATGATCTCAGTACATTATCCCTGTATAGACATACAAAAAGTGCCATGAGGGAGTGGGTAGAACTCAAGGGGTGGAGCCTCAATCCTTGTGCCGGAAGCTACTGTCCCTTAGTGCGCCTGCGAGACTCCCACGCCCAGGGAAAGGTTCCTATCGATTTGTTCTGGGCTCGGCAGCTCTTTTTGGTAGCAGGCAGCCATCTTACCTGAAGCCTGAGAAAAGGAGAAGAGAGACAGAAGGAACGGGTGACACTGGTCTCAGGGCCGCCCTGGGGGCCTCGAGAGCCGGAGGCAGCCCCAGAGGTGGTCCTCTGGTCCTAGACTAAGCTCTTGGACCCAAGAAGGGAAGGTGGAGGGCGGCTGTAGCAAGATGGGTGGGAAATGTCAAGCAAGACTTGCTGGGCGGGGGACGGGCGTTGCCATAGCGACTGGGAAGGGGCGGGGTCAAGTCTGAATAGCTGCTGTGAGTCACTGGGGCGCTGCCCAGGAAGGACAGAGCTGGGGTGATGACCATGGTGACAGTCTTATGGGGATTTCGCGACATCCCGAGTCTGGAAGGACTCAGTGTCAATAGCAACAGTCACCTGGCAGAAGGGTTGGAACTAGATGCCTTCTCTTGGGACGCTGACATTCCAAGCCCTTGTCCTGCAGGCTCCCGCAGGCCGACACGCCAGAGGAGGAGGCCGGGGAATGGCCGCTGTGTGGCAGCAAGTCTTAGCAGTGGACGCGAGGTGAGGTGTGGGGTCTGAGCCCTTGGGAGCGGAACTTACTATGGTGCATGCGTAATGGCGATAAGTGAGACTAGGCGGCGAATTTGCCTTGTGTGGCTTCGTGGGCATGCCCGAGGTGAGCTTGCAAACACCAGGAGAGATTGGTGGAGTTCAGAGAGGGTTTTAAAGTGCATCCTGGGGAAATGTGATTAAGTATGTGTACATGCATAAAGTCTGTTTGGAAGGGGAAATGGAGCTCAGGTTGTTGACTTCAAAGACCCTTATTGCCGGCCACTTTCCCGACTTCTCAATAACACTATCCCAGTGTGACCCCTATCACCACCCTGCATTAACTCTTATTATGATACACTAGCCTCCATTGCTACACCAGAGTTCCACCACTATGCTAGACTTCTATCACCTGTTACTGATATCCCTGACTCAGTCTCTTAGCCAACCCCAACAGAGCTGCAGACTGACTCAGTGGTCCTCATTATTCCTCTGTATCACCATGCCTATTATTACTGTAAATCAGCCCCATCACAGTGGCTATAGCTACTTGATCAGTCTGGCCACCCCATCCCCAACTGACCAAGTCCCTCTATCCTATGCCTGCTGCCCACCCTGCCTCCTGACCTTGCAGGTACAACGCCTACCGCACACCAACGTTTCCACAGTTTCGGACTCAGTATATCCGTCGGCGCAGCCAGTTGCTGCGGGAGAATGCCAAGGCTGGGCACCCCCCAGCATTGCGTCGGCAGTACCTGAGGCTGCGGGGTCAGCTGTTGGGTCAGCGGTACGGACCTCTCTCCGAACCAGGCAGTGCTCGAGCCTATAGCAATAGCATCATTCGCAGCAGCCGCACCACCCTTGACCGAATGGAGGTGAGCTCTTGGCCACACTGCCTGCTTCTCTAGGTTACCACAGACTTGTCAATCACCTGCAGCAGTTTGTAAGGCACTGTTGCAGGCTCTTAGGGGCAGCAGAGTCTAGAGATAGCAACTAAGCCAATAAACATGATGAACAATAAATGAGACAAACACAATGGTAAACATTCAGCAAACCAGATAAACTACCATGGTGTAGTGATGGAAAACTAAAGTGGACTTGAGAGATGAGAAAGGAGTAGCATTTAGTATCAAGAATGTGGCTTATTGACAAAGTGCTTGCCTAGCATGCATGAGGCCCTATGTTCCATCCCCAGCACCACATACAAACACACACACACACAGGAACTAGGATAGGTGAAAAAGGTAAGTTGTTCGTTTGTTTGTTTGTTTTTTGGGTCCGGTCGTGGGGCCTGAACTCTGGGCCTGGGCGCTGTCCCTCAGCAACTCAGCTCAAGGCGAGTGCTCTACCACTTGAGCCACAGCGCCACTTCCGGCTTTTTTTTTCTGCTTATGTGGTGCTGAGGAATCAAACCCAGGGCCTCAGGCATGCAAGGCAAGCACTCTACCACTGAGCCACCTTCCCAGCCCCAAAGGTAAGTTTTTTGTTTTTGTTTTGTTTTGTTTTTTGGTACCAGTACTGAGGCTTGAACTTAAAGCCTATGCACTGTCTCTTTAGCTTGTCACTTAAGGCTGGCACTCTTACTACTTTTTTTTTGCCAGTCCTGAGGCTTGAACTCAGGTCCTGGGCATTGTCATTGAGCTTCATTTACTCAAGGCTAGCACTCTACCACTTGAGCCACTTTGTTTCTTCTAACTTTTTCTCTTTATGTGGTATTGAGCAGGGCTTCATGCTTGCTAGGCAAGCACTCTACTATTAAGCCACATTCCCAGCCCCCACTCTTACTGCTTGAACCACACATCCACTTTGACTTTTGTTGGATAATTGGAGATAAGAGTCTCTTAGACTTTCCTGCCTGGGATGGCTTTGAACCTTGACCCTCAGATTTCAGCCTCCTTGATAGCTAGGATTATAGGTTTGAACTGCTGGTGCTTGGCTGGAAATCTATGTTTGATGGAATGATGAGTGAAGATCCTTCAGAGAAAGTGACAACTGAGACATGAATGAAGGAGACTAGGACTAGAGAAATAAAATGGGCACTGGTAGAGCACTAGCCTTGAGCAAAAATAAAGCTGAGTGCTGGGAATGTGGCTTAGTGATAGAGTGATTGCCTAGCATGCATGAAGCCCTGGGTTTGATTCTTTTTTTGTCAGTCATGGGTCTTGAACTGTGGGCCTGGGTGCGGTCCCTGAGCTCTTCAGCTCAAGGAAAGAACTCTACCACTTGAGCCACAGCACCACTTCCAGTTTTCTGAGTGATTTATTGGAGATGAGTCTCATGTACTTTCCTGCCCAGGCTAGCTTTGAACCATAATCCTTAGATCTCAACCTCCTGAGTAGCTAGGATTCCAGGCGTGAGCCACCAGCACCCAGCTTGGGTTTGATTCTTTAGTACCACATAAACAGAAAAAGCCAGAAGTTGCACTGTGGCTCAAGTGATAGAGTGCTAGCCTTTAACAAAAGAAGCTCAGGGACAGTGCCTAGGCCCTGAGTTCAAGCTCAGGACTGGCAAACAAATAAATAAGTAAGTAAGTAAAGCTCAGGGATAGCACCCAGGCCCTGAGTTCAAGCCCCAGGATTGGTGTGCATGCAGGTGCACACACACGCACGGACACACACACACACACACACACACACACACACACTGTACTCTTTCTCAGTGCAGAAAACTTGTGTTAAGGATGAGAAGGTAGAAGCAGGCACTGATAGAAAAGTCCTGCCACAATGCAAGTAATGGAATGAAATACATATAGTTTTAAAACAATCATTTTTTGTTATATTTTGAGGCTCCAGAACTTAGTGACTCTTTTTTTTTATGGTCCTGGGGCTTGAACTGTGGGCCTGGGCCCTGTCCCTGAGGTGCTTTTGCTCATGGCTAGCAGTCTAGTGGTACTTCTGGCTTTTTCTGTGATTAATTGGAGATAAGTCTCATGGTCAGCTGGGAGCTGGTGGCTCATGCCCATAATTCTAGCTACTCAAGAAGCTGAGATCTGTTGGGCACCAGTGGCTCACACCTGTAATCCTAGCTAGTCAGGAGGCTGAGATCTGAGGATCATGGTTCAAAGGCAGCCCGGGCAGGAAACTCCATGAGACTTATTTCCAATAAACCACTAGAAAACCAGAAGTGGTGCTGTGGCTCAAGTGGTAGAGTGCTTGCCTTGAGCTAAAGAGTGCAGGGAAAGCACACAGGCCCAGAGTTCAAACCCCATGACCGACAAAATTAAATAAATAAATAGATAGATAAAAAGAAGCTGAGAGCTGAGGCTCATGGTTCAAAGCTAGCCCAGGCAGGAAAGTCTAAGACTCTTATCTCTAATTAATAACAGAAAAAGCCAGAAGTAGCACTGTGGCTCAAGTGGTTGAGTGCTAACCTTCAGCAAACAGAGCTCAGAGATAGTTCCCAAGTCCAGAGTTCAAGCCCCAGGACCATCCAAAAAAAGAAAGAAGTCTCACAGTTTTTTCTATCCTAGCTGGCTTCAAACTGCGATTCTCATATTTCAGCCTCCTGAATGGCTAGGATTACAAATGTGAGCCTCTGGTGCCCAGCCTTTAGTGGTTCTTAATGGCTCTAAAACAAAACAAAAACATGATTTTTCTAAGGCTGGGCCATGTTGCCCTAAAACATTCTGGGATTTCACCCTGCCTGGCATTTCAGAGGTCATCTTTAAGATGTACTAACCCTTATCCCCTCTGTTTACAGGACTTTGAAGATGATCCTAGAGCCTTGGGGGCTCGAGGGCATCGCCGTTCTGTTAGCCGTGGCTCCTACCAGCTACAGGCACAGATGAACCGTGCAGTCTACGAGGACAGGTATACATCAGAGGCAGCCAAGGAGTCGGGCTGAGGAGGAGAAGAGGGGCCCTGGGACATGACAGGCTTAATAACTGTATCTACCTCCTGTTACCTCCTAACTTTTCTTTGGGGCCCAGGCCTCCTGGCAGTGTTGTTCCCACATCAGTGGCAGAAGCAAGTCGGGCCATGGCAGGAGACACATCACTGAGTGAGAACTATGCCTTTGCAGGGATGTACCATGTTTTTGACCAGCACGTGGATGAAGCAGGTGAGCCAGTGCATGGGTAGTGGGTTGTCACCAAATGTTTGTCCAAACAACCACCCAAAGCATTCTTTTCCAGAATGCAAGGCCTTTGGCACCATGCCTCTGAAGGAGGACTTACCACCCATAAAGCCTTTGGCAAACTCAATAGCCCTCTGCAAAGTGGTCTACAAATCTCGGGACTTTCTCACTGGGAAGGGCCTCAGAAACTCAAGGGAGCCCTTCACAGCAGGCTTCCTGGGGTCGTGAGTCACTTGGAAGAGCTCAAAGCCTATATTGATGCTAACTCCCTTGCAGAGGGCCAAGTGGGCTGCACACTGTCAAAGGTTTTATAAACTGCTGTGACCTTGGTGATGGTCAAGTGCTTGCTCAGACAGTAGGAGCTTTTTCGAATTGCAGAAGACTTTTGCAATCAGCAAAGTGCCTGCTGAGATTTAGAGAGCATTTTGGCAGAGGGCCTCCTGAGGTCACCATTGCTTTTGTCAGCCAAGGAAAGCCCTTTTGCTGAGGCCACCATTCCTTGTGCAGTGGGGTCCCAGCCCCCTGTACACACATCGGAGCCTTTGATAAACCAAAAGTGCCCAACAAGTGTGCTGACTTCCCACAAATGGCTCCTTGGCATTGCAGTCCCAAGGGTGCGCTTCGCCAATGATGACCGGCACCGCCTGGCCTGCTGCTCACTGGATGGCAGCATCTCCCTATGCCAGCTGGTGCCCGCCCCACCTACTGTGCTCCGAGTGTTGCGGGGCCACACCCGTGGTGTCTCCGACTTCGCCTGGTCCCTCTCCAATGACATCCTCGTGTCCACCTCTCTCGATGCCACCATGCGCATCTGGGCCTCCGAGGACGGCCGCTGCATCCGGGAGATCCCTGACCCCGATGGCGCCGAACTGCTGTCCTGCACCTTCCAGCCCGTCAACAACAACCTCACTGTGGTCAGGCTCCAGGGTGCCCGCGCACCAAGGGCGGGCATGCTGGGTCCGGAGGGCTGTCTGAGGGTATTAGAGGATAAGATCTAAGACACCCCAGTCTCATCCTAGAAGCCTTCCTGTGGCCAGGCTTGAAGGGAAACAAGCCAGAGAATGGGGAAATGTAATTCTTGGTCTGGGATAGACTTATTATGGTAGCCTCTAGGGAGGGCCAAGTTGAGATGGGGCCCTAGCCCTGGGACCCCTCTGATTCCATCAGTCCAGTCCATCTGTTTTCTACCTTCAGGGGCTGCTGATAGGGAGAAGGTTGCTGAGGCTGAAAGTTTATCTTACCTGTTAACAGCAACCCCATTGTGATCAGACTCCAGGATAGACTGGTCAGAGGGCAGGGGAAGGATATGGAAAGTCTGCCATGGCCTGGAGCAGTCTGAGCACAAGGGGAAGCTGCAATGATACTTCAGGCCTAAAAGAGCCCTATGGCTTTCCGCAAGCCCAAGGGGGCAACTTTATGGCTCCTGATCATCCCATGAGCAGCTGCCTTCCTCTAGGTAGATTGAAAGAGGGGCTAGCTAGAGAACAGGAATATATATATACATATATATATATGTATGTATGTATGTATATGTATATATCATCTTCCTGCCCCACTGTAGTCAGACTTGAGGAGGGACTGGTTGGGCTTGAGTTGATGGTGGATACATTCAACCCACAGGTGGGCAATGCCAAGCACAACATACATGTCATGAACATCTCCACGGGAAAGAAAGTAAAAGGTGGCTCCAGCAAGTTGACAGGTCGTGTCCTCGCTCTGTCCTTTGATGCTCCTGGCCGACTTCTCTGGGCAGGTGATGACCGTGGCAGTGTCTTCTCCTTCCTCTTCGATATGGCCACAGGTAGGCAGGCCATCTACTGGCATTGTTGGGCTGTTCTTCCTCCAGTCCTCCCAAGGCTCAGCCTTCACCCTCATCTTTCTCTGCAGGGAAACTAACCAAGGCCAAGCGACTGGTGGTACATGAGGGCAGTCCAGTAACCAGCATCTCTGCTCGCTCTTGGGTCAGCCGAGAGGCCCGGGATCCCTCACTTCTCATCAATGCTTGCCTCAGCAAACTGCTGCTCTACAGGTGGGCCCATCACCCATCAGGAGGACCACCTGGGAAGGGAGGGCTGGCCTCTTCCATCAGACTGAAACAAAAGCCCATCTCCTGCATCAGGATAATTTCACTGAGGATAGAAGTGCACATTTCTTATAATATGATAATAATAGGACCTGGTATGGAGCTCAGTGGTAAAGTACCTGCCTAGCAATGGATAGGCCCTAGCTTCTATCTCAGTGCTGCAAAAGAAAAAAATGTTAATAATAATAATAGTACTAATGACAGCAACAATAGCACAATATGATTATGTGTGTGGCCCGTAATATACAGGATGCACAGTATGATAATGTCAGTATGCAACAGTAACAATAACAGCAATAGGGAGCACCTATACCACAACTGGTGTGGCCAGACCCCATTCAAAGCTTTTTGTGTATTTCCTTATTTAGTCCTCACACTAGCCTGTGAAGTAGGTACTATCATTATCTGTGTATGTGTGTGTGTGTTTGTACTGGGACTTGAACTTAGAGCCTCATACTCATACTCTCACTCTTCTTTTCCTCTCAAAGCTGGCACTCTACTACTTGAGCCACTTCTGACCTCCACTTCTGACATTTTGCTAGTTAATTGGAGATCAGAGTCTCAAAGTTTTGTCTTCCCTGGCTGGCTTTGAACCATTAATCTCATATCTCATCCTCCTAAGTAGCTACAATTATAGGTATGAACCATTGGCACCCAGCTTCACTTTCTCCATTTTAAAGTTTGGCAAAATGAGGCCTAAAATAGAGCAGGACCAAGGACTGGTAGCTCAATGGTAGAGCACTTGTCTACTGTGTACAGATCCCTGGGTTTTACCCTAATACCATGCGTGCGCGCACACACACACACACACACACACACACACACAACTAGCCCTTTTCCCTTAGAACAGAGGCTTATTTTTCCATCTGTCTGTCTGTCTGTCTGTCTGTCTATTTTTGTGTCTGTTCTGGGGCTTAAACTCAGGCCTAAATTCTTGCTTATCTTTTTCTGTTTTTGTCTGGTGCTCTTACCACTTAAGCCTTGCCTCCAGTCTGGCTTTTTGTTCTGTTTTATTTTCTCCCAAGAATCTGATGTTTTTCCTCATTGGCTGGCATTCTACCACTTGAGCCATGTCTCCACCCCAATCCAGCTTTTTTTTTCTCATTAATTGTAGATAGAATCTCACAGATTTTTCTTTTTTTTTTTCAGTCGTGGGGCTTGAACTCTGGGCCTGGGCGCTGTCCCTCAGCTCTTCAGCTCAAGGCGAGCGCTCTACCACTTGAGCTATAGTGCCACTTCTGGTTTTCTGGTGGTTTATTGGAGATAGCGGTCTCTCCTGCCTGGGCTGGCTTTGAACCGTGATCCTCAGATCTCAGCCTCCTGAGTAGCTAGGATTACAGGCGTGAGCCACCAGTGCCCGGCTAGATTTTTCTTTTTTTATAACAGTCCTGGGGCTTGAACTCAGGACCTTGTTCCTGAGCTTTTGCTAAACACTAGCACTCTATCACTTGAGCCACAACACCACTTCTGGCTTTTTCTGTTTATATGGTACTAAGGAAATGAACTCAGGGTTTCATGCATGCTAGGCAAGTACTCTACCACTAAGCCACATTCCCAGGCCCCTCTCACAGATTTTTCTATGAAGACTAGCTTTGAACCTTAATCCTTAGATCTCAGCTTCCTGTAGCTAGGATTATAAACAGGAGCCACTGGCACTTGGCCTTATTTGATTTTATTTTTGCTGGTCCTGTGGCTTGAACTCAGAGCCTGGGTACGGTCCCTAAGCCTCTCTGTACTCAAGGCTAGTGCTCTATGCCTTGGGCCACAACACCACTTCCAGCTTTTTCTGTATATGTGGTACTGAGGAATCGAACGCAGGGCTTCATGCATGCTAGGAAAGCACTCTACCACTAAGCCACATTCCCAGCCCGTTTATTTGATTTTTTTGTTAGTTGTGGGGCTTGAACTCTGGGCCTGGGTGCTGTCCCTCAGCCTTCAGCTCAATACTAACTCTACCACTTGAGCCATAGCACCACTTCTGGTTTTCTGGTGGCTTATTGGAGATAAGAATCTCACAGACTTTCCTGCATGGGCTGGTTTTGAACCATGATCCTCAGATCTCAGCCTCCTTAGTAGCTAAGATTACAGGCATGAGCCACCAGTGCCTGGCTTTATTTGATTGTTTTTATGCTGCTGGGATTGAACCTGCAGCCTTACACAGGCTAAGCATACTCTGCCACTGAGCTACCCCAAGCCTTGTTATCTTTTCTTTCAATTTTTGCAGAGAATTTGCTTTCCCACTCATCTGTCATGTGGTCCAAGTGCATCTCTCAGTCAGGCAGTCAGGTAGAATGACCTGAAGCACTCATCATGTCCAAAGATGAATGTGGTCCCACATGCGTGTTATACTAGAATTGAGGGAAGGCAGGAAGATTTTGCATTTGAGGCCAGCCTGGGATTCATACTGCGACTCTCAAAAACAAAAGAATGTCAGGCCAGGTGCTGATGGCTCATGCCTATAACCTTAGCTACTCCGGAAGCACAGAATTGAGGATCATGGCTTGAAGCCAGACCAGGTAGAAAAGGCCTTAAGACTCATATCTCCAATAAACTACTCAGAAAAAGCTGGAAGTGAAGCTGTGGCTCAAGTGGTAGAGTGCTGGCCTTGAGCATACAAAGGCTCAGGGATAGAGTCCAGGCATTGAGTTCAAGCCCCAGGACTGACAATAATTAATTAACTAATTAATTAAATGTCAGGAGTTAGAATACCAGTAGCTTACACCTACTCAGGAGGTTGAGGGTCAAGATTCAAAGCTACCTGGGGGAGTGGGACAGCAAAGTCTGGAAGACCTATCACCAGTTAACCACTAAAAAGCCAGAAGTGGAACTGTAGCTCAAGTGCCAACTTTGAGATAAAAAGCTAACGAACAGCCAGGCACCGGTGGCTCACACCTATAATCCTAGCTACTCAGGAGGCTGAGATCTGAGGGTTGTGGTTCAAAGCCATCCCTCGCAGGAAAGTCCTTGAAACTCTTATCTCCAATAAACCACCAGAAAACCAGAAGTGGCGCTATGGCTCAAGTGGTAGAGCGCTAGCCTTGAGCTGAAGAGCTGAGGGACAGTACTCAGGCCCAGAGTTCAAGCCCCATGACTGACCAAGAAAAAATGCTAAAGGACAGCCAGGTGCTAGTGGCTCATGCCTGTAATTCTAGTTGACTCAGGAGGCTCAGATCTGAAGATCACAGTTCAATACCAGCCTAGGCAGGAAAGTCCATGAAACTATTATCTGTAACTACCAAAAAGCCAAACTAGAGAACCCTAACTTTGAGCACAAAAGCCCAGGGATAGTGCCCAGGCCCAGAGTTCAAGCCCCAATACCAGCACCAAAAGGAAAAGTCACAACTCCAGGCTCTGCTCCAGTCTGGCAATTTCAGTTCTATGCTGGGCCTGGGATTGGCATAATGAAAAGATTCCCACATAACATCCAGCCTAGCCCGAAAACCACTGCCCAACAGGACACTTTTTATACTTTTTTTTTTGTCAGTCATGGGGCTAGTGCTGTACCACTTGAGCCACAGCACCACTTCCAGTTTTCTGAGTGGTTTGTTGGAGATAAGTTTCTCACAGACTTTCCTGCTGGGGCTAGCTTTGAACCACAAGCCTCAGATCTCAGACTCCTGAGTAGCTAGGATTACAGGTGTGAGCCACAGGCATCCAGCCATGGATGCTTTTTATTATACTATTTTATTTTTCTTTAGAATTCTTTTTCTTTCTGGTGATACTTGAGTTTTGAACTCAAGGGCTTTACATTTGATAGGCCAGCATTCTGCCAATTGAGCCACACTTCAGCCTTCCTTTCAACATTTTATTTTTCTATGTAGGAGTATTTAATCCCATTTCCTGGGTGAGGAGCAG